AAAGTGACCCTTTGATATCCCAGGATGAGGTCACTTAGGTCTGTACAAGGTCACTTAGAGACTCCAAAGAAATCACTTTGAAGGTCCTGGAAGACGTTGTTTCGATGGTTGAGGGTGCCCATGCTTGGTTCTGACGGTTTACGTTTAGCTTTTCTTTCTTCACCGGGGTTGGTGGGAAAAGCCAAGGGACTCTGCAATCCAAAAGTTGTTCTTCCATACCAAAACATCCAAAAGCAGTTGTTCTCAACACATCAGATCCTCAAATCCAGGTGCCTCCATCATCCCGTCGGGGCGACTCGTTGCAACTCCTTCACCGTCTTCCACTAGAAACTGGCAGAAACAGCACCCCAACAATGTGGCGGCAGGCTCCGTGCCGTTCGGCATGAGGAACTCCAACTCTCTCTCCAAAAGCCTTGGCTGTTCTGGTGATTTTTGGACCAACACGAAACTCCCTCCCCTGGAGCCTCCAGGACCTTCGAACAAACATCCAGGGCCCAGGCGTCTTCGAACTCTCAGAATGTCTGGAATGTCTGCGCCCCACAGTGGATTCGACTCCCTTTGCACTGCATGTGATGACCAACATAAAAAGTCACAGAACGGTTTCGCTGGGTGTTTGGCTGGAGTCTAAGTGCATCTCGCATAGAAATTTCAGGCGGGGACCCTTCCGCAAAGTTCGACCAGCAAATTTGATCAAGAGGCAAATGCTCCAGCAGCGAGTAGTTCAAACTGCCTTGGATGAGCTGGTCCCTGTCACCTACCCTTCATTGAAGTTTGACCGTCGGGTAACTGATCCGATGATGATTGAATTTCCTGTCTTTCTTCCGAAGGCCACATGTCCAACTATGAAACCCTGACCCTGTCCGACAAATCCCTGACCCAGTCCCTGACACGCGCACGGTCGACCTGCTAACAACCCCCGCGCTTCCCGGCGCTTCCCCCAACACAGTTGGTCTCAGATGCGTTGGAAAACTTTCAGCTCACAAACATCCAGTCCTGAGAAGGAGAGCCACATCGCCATCAGAGAACCACACACTCCATCGGAGAAGCACATCTCAGGAAATCCTCTATTTAGGTCGGGTGTATTACTGAAACTGTTCCCATTCACTACGCAGATTTTGTTGAACAACTCTACGAGCGTCTGTGAGTTAGTGAACGCATTGGAGGCATCCTCAAAATTAAACGAAAGGATCCATACAGCCCAACACAGGTTGAAACATGTTGAACAATTGTCTGAAGCCACAGCATGGTGGACTGAAGATCTCAGGCGACTACTGATTGCAGTCTGGATATTCAACTTTCAAGTTCACTATCCTGCTTCCTTCCCAAGCAAATAGTTTTCGAACCTTCTACTGCCGCTGTTTGTATAGAATAGATCTCTAAATATCTCTAACTATCTCTAACTATCCTCTATCTCTGGATGGAAGTGAGCACTGCTGCCATTTTGATCAGAGTGCGACCGACCCATAAGCTACAGATCTTTGCACATCACGCATAACATTGTCCGGGCAAATGACACAGTGCTGTTGGTATATACTTGTGCATACTGCGCCATGCTGGGGGTGCCATTCAACAAAGCCGGTGTCCTTCACAGGATCAGCTGCACATCCGTCCAATGACCCCTCGGGGAAACACGTCCAGTGACCCGATGCCAAGTGTCTCACCGTGGGCATCTGCAGCCGTTCGTTGGAGACACCTCGAATTCGTTTCATTCGGTGCAGCCATCCGGTGATCCGGCCTCTCTTTCATAGAGAATGGCACAGGTGCGAAGTGCGAACCAATTCGCAAATATTTGGATCAATTTTGGATTCAAGGCATTTTACCACGGAGGGAGGATGGTTGCCTTCAACATCAGAGTTCCACCAACAAATGCCACTCGAGCCGCTCTCCCGAGTGGGTCGCTGCACGTCCTCCCAGAAGCTCCGGAGAGTCATCGCCACGAAGGCGATGAAGGCCACGACCAAGAGGATCCAAAGACCTCGCGGAAACGGAAAAAAACACATTTCTTCCGGAGGAAGACAACACCAGCAACTCGGGAACTGAAGAGCAAGACGTCGGGAAACACTGAAATAGAGTATGAACCGAAATGTCCACCCGCCCCGCGGTTCGGGCTCGGCACCCCGAAACCGGTGGACCGGGCGTTTTGCGAGCCAAGGTGGCAGTAGTTGAGGCAACTAAAGGCCCTAGTAGCCGATGAGTCGTCTGTTGGCGACCATGGTACAAATGCATGGTCCGGGTACAAGATGAAAACGAGTGTCGTTGGCCATGGGAGTTTACAAGTGGAATTCTACCGAGGGTGACCTTCTTTGAGCTGGGAGTTGGATGAATGGCTCTCAAGATAAAACAACAGCGACAAATCCAACTCCAAAGCTCATGTCGGAACTGAATAATATCGCATCCTCGACTCCATGCTAACCCCGGCAGTCCCCCTCCTCAGTTCTTAACAGAAACTTCGTGCAACTACAACATAATTCTGCGTAAACCGTCCAATGCCGCCTGGGTTGAACTGAAAGCTAAGCAAGTAGTAAGTCTTTCTGCTTCAAACTCTAGATGTCGTTGGGTGCCACTTTATGCAATAAGTAGTGCAATAAGTGATAATTCTTCCTTCCGGCTGTTGGCTTGGTTTTGCACATTCTGCACTCGGTTGAATTACTACACCGTGAGACTTCCACGAAAATAAACGGAACCTGATGTCACCACTCACTTGGCAACATCCTTTCCTGCCTACGTCGGTCGCTCTACGTCTGTCGCCCTCTTCCCCGCCTAGGGCGCAGCTCGCATCGTTGGGATTCCGGAAGGAGGACCTCTTGGGGGGGAACATGACCTGGGCCGCGGGGGAGACCACCGAGTCCGACAAGTCTTTGAACGAGTCCCCAAGGTAAAAGCGGTGTGAGTTTGATGATAATAACCGGTTTTCTGCCAATAGACGGCTCAACACACCTTAAGGATAAAAGATCTTAAAGAAACAAAGGTCATGTTGCGCCATGTACTGGAGAAAATTTGGGTAGATTTGCCAATTGTCTCAATGGCCAGTAGATGGCACAATAGCAAATTCCGAGCCATGCATTTTCAAGTCGGAGTAAATGTATGGTCGAGAGTTGCAGGACGGTTTCCAAAAAACATAGACAGGCTCTAACGACAAGTCTTGACCACTAAGGACTGATTGAGAACCACCAATCTTTTGCAGTTGATGCTGGTTAAACTGTTCAGTTATCTGAGTTATCTGTCAAACACAAAAACCATGGACCTAAACATAGACCGGGACCTCCTGAAATGATGTTCCTCCAAAAAGCATGGCACGTTTTTGGAGTCTACAGTAGCTCTCCTGGTTGTTCCCGTGTCGCACTGACACATATTTTTTTTTTGAGTTGATAAGTTCCTGAGGTTCAGGAAACTATATCCATTTCTCAAACACCCACAACCCCTCCCCCCAGGCCAAATGAGTTCATGAGTGAATGAAAGGGTTGGCTTCATATATCTCCTGGTTGCGGCAGCTGATTCACCAAACCATTGCCGAGGGACATGAAGAAACTCGGTAGCAGCGCGCGGGGATTCCGCCAGCTGCGCCGAGTGCAAATAAAGGGCCTGTAAAACTTAGTGACTTGAGCAGCACAAAGCCAGAGCAAAGAATGTCAACGGTTGCCACGGAAGAATTTCAATTCCAGCACCCTCCAACTCACTTCTGGAGGCCTAATTATTGGTGACAAGAAAGCTTCAGGTGGTGACATGTTGGGAGGTCCATGACTGATGCTGTATGTTTAATTGTATGTTTAGTCAGGATTCAGCCCTCCGTCAAAATTTGGGTGTCACTCAAAAGTCCCACAACATGCAACAATGACCCTGCTGATCTTTGAAGACACTCCAGAAAAGTCCGGGAGTGCCGAATGGACCTCCAATCAATGACATCCTCAAAGAGGACCGGAATGGGATGAAGCTACCAGTCACGGAGGTACTGAAAACAAAATCCTCAGCATGTGACTACAAATGATCCTTTGCTTCCTGTGCAGCTCCTTAAGATCTTGAGCGTCGTGCACGAACAGTAGCTTCACCATGAAGGACTCTCATGATTTTGCACCTTTATTATCTCTCTTTCTCCTGTCCCAAAGGGTTTAGCGCAATAATAATTATTATGCAAAGCCAGGGCCAACCCAACTGGAACTTCTAAATTCTAGATGTTGACTAAGCAGAATGTCTATGATCTCTGCCGTGAACATATTATTTACATTGCTCATATTATGAGTGGCTTCCAGCGTCCCCGAAACCTCTTAATTGAAGGCGAAGAGCTTGAAACATAGACCAGCCACCAGTGTCAGCTTGGTACTGCCAGGATTCTCCAGCCACCAGTGTCAGCCAATGTCTGTCACAGTAAGAGGATGTCATGGGCAATCCAATCCAGCTGTGACCCACACCCAAGTGGTTCTGTGTCTTCATCCGATACTCGGTATCAGGGGTTGCATCGCCCACAAGAATCGCCTCTGAGCCATCCAAGCCTGTTTGGCAGATGCCCCTTCTCGACTCCAAGACTCGTGAATGGCTTCAAACAAAGCCTAGGGACTTAAGCACATATTTTTGCCTATGTGTCCTGCCCAAAATGATCTCGACAAACACAAAGAGTTGGTCCAGCTGGTTGGCCGAAGCGCTTTCTTAAGGATTGTGACGAGGTATCCGTCCGTCTGTCCGTCCCTGATCGACCGCCCGTGATCCACCAGGCCACTAGTGAATCCCAAGTACAAATAAGAAGTAACTTTATGGAAGAAACATGTCATGCACTGAGTGAGACATACAAGCCCTGCAAATAGTGCTGAAGTGGTTTTTCTAATGTCAGGTGGTTCAGGAATTCTTCCCTCAACTTCTGCGAAGCCAATGGGGTGTAACATGGTGTAACAATGTGACGTGTCACAAGTGTCTCGGTGATTCTGCATGCCCCGAACTTCATTGCAAAAAAGGGCTGGCGAGCCCACGCGATGATCTTGTCTTCCAGCCGTCACCAAATCGGGTTTCTCCCCGCAGCACTTTTCGACGCTCACGGCTCTGCGGTCTCCGGACGGCATTTGGCCTCAAGCGGTGGATCTGCATGATTGGGGTGGAGATGTCAGAGGAAAAGAAACTGGTTGAGTGCGCCACTAGCCAGTAGTCATGAAGATTCAACTATGAGGCCTCGTTCATGACGAGTATAGTCATACAACATGCAATGACTCCGCAAGAAACAGGTACATGGAGTATAAGTATATGTCGGTACATGCAATCATATAGTTAATTTGTACGCTTTGATGCGCATGCTTTCGCTGACTCCACGAACCAAGCAAAGATGTCCACCAACATAAATATTCCGATTTTGTTTTCAGCATGATCCTAGTCATGATCCTATAGCCTGTTCAAACTGAGCTGTTGCTGACTTCTTCCTGAGCTTCGTTACCGCAAAGTTGTGACCGAATTTGAAGGCACAAAAACAAACCCACAAGCTACTTCCCAACACATGTCCAGTGTCCATTTGCAATACATAATGCCTGTGCTGTACACACCACACATCTTTGATTGGTGATGGATATTGACCGTGTCTCTTGAACATTGGCCTTTGAGAGGGCTCCACCTCGGATCGGCTTTGACTTCCGCGGCGCTCCCAGGACGGTCATCCAAGCCACCAAGGGGTCCAATTCTGACGGATGGGCCAAACCCAAATGTAGCCAGGGCAAATGCAGAAAGAGGCGAAAGGTCTCCTGGTGAGGGAGTTAGGCCCAAGCTCTGAGCCAAGCTCTGAGCCGTTGTTGAGCTGCAAAAAAGATGTCTGGAACATGTTGGACATCCAAGGCAATGAGGGAGTTAGGCCTCAACTGAGCGATGCTATCTACTGCTCTTGAGTGGGGCCGGCCACAAGCCCGTGTCCCATTTTGAAAAGTCGTCTTTGTTCATTTTGGGGATGGCATGCATAGCATCCGGTAGAAAAGGAGGCATAATAAGGAGGCATCTCTGGAGCCATCTCCTGTGTCCTTCTTTTGTCAACTCATGTTGGATTGCCATCTCTGTTCTCAGAATGGGATGCCATATTCAACCGTCCTTCTCCATGGCTGGAAAGAGGTTGGTGATCAATTTGAAGACCTGAAGCCAACTGCATGCGAAAGTCTTTGGATGAAGGGCTCTTGCAATTGCATCCCGTGCTAGTTCCAAGAACGTATCTCTCTTACAGTACAGAAGCGATTCATCCCTAAACAAATCAAATGACCTCAAGTCCCTGGAGTGACACCAACAAAGTCCTAAGTGCAAAAGGCCCTGTTGCTAGAGTCTAGAGATGGAGTCGGATGGAGTGCCTACCCCTTCCCGGCCTTCCCGCCATGTCTTGTCATGTCTTCTCCGCCAACCCGCCACGGCCGAGAGGCTGCGGTGGCGGAGGTCAACTCGCCAAGCCAGTTGAGGAGACACTTCCTCAAAGCGGTGGGGTCCCGCCGGGTTGTGTTGAAGGCAGTGCTATGCATATGAAGCTCCTGGGGAATTCAATCTCCTGGACATCAGTTGAAGGCAGCAATTGTAATTACCACACATATATAGTAAATTCCATGGTCCATAAATAGTCACCAAAAAGGCCCTACTTTGGACAAACCTGGTACCTGGTACCAGTAGTTTGGTAAAGCACCATACACTTCGTTAGTGGCAGCACCCTGATATACAAGTGCTGAACCCGGGCTGAGCCCTCATCTTGCCTTCTCACGTTGATCCCACGCCGCCGAGAACTGCCAAGCTGCAGCACATCGTTGATGTGAAGCTTCACACGCACCAAATCGGTGGACAAAGGCAAGCCGATCTTCAGAGTGTACCTGCCATAGAACCCCTTCAGTCGTAAGACCCCATCGGTCGATTCCAATCCAGGTAGAAAAGGAGGCATCCGACCAGGCTCAAATCTCTGCCTTGATTATATGGCGACTCAGTAGACTCAGTAAACCAAATACGGCACCGGGGCATCTGGGGCTTGCTGGATCTTGCAGCTATGGCTACGTACTTCAAGCCATTTCCGTGCAGTTGATCCATTGTGGAAGGAGATCGGATGTTGGATGTTGTTTGGTTTCACCATGGTTTCACCATGGTTTCACCATGTTTCAGCACATCCACTGACCGCCTGGTTCAATACCTTGGTGATTGGATAGGGGTTGTCCAGATGGAACGTGGTTCCTTGACTGTCGGACATCCTTTAGTCTTCCACTCACCGACCTCACCGCCCTTCCACTGACCGACGGTGGCCTGAAGGAGTCCGCGGTCGTGTGGGAGTTGACATCGCTGGTCCGTTGCAGGGACTCTGGCACTAAGGTCATATCCTCGCGATACCACAAAGGAACTCGGCAACGGAACCGATCTGATCAAGAGAGTCGAAAGTGTGCACACGGAACCGATGAGGTCCTTGCTTTTCATTTCACTTTCGTGTGGACCCCTCCGGACCCGCCCATGAAAAACAACAACGGCCCGTTTGGACTGACCAAACCAAATGCTTGTTTTTGCCAAGTGGCCGCAAAATAGAAGGTGTCCTCACCTCAAATAACCCGTGGAAGGTTGGCTCAAAAGGCGAGCAACACTGATCCAAGATGCACATCAAAAGAGGAGGGGACTCAGACAACGGGACTTCCCTCCAATGCAGCATGTGATTGGGAAGTGTTCAACACACAGATTTTTGTTTGTTTTACCGAAGCATCCTCACTATTCCTCACTATATAATCGCTGTTACAGGTGAAGCCATGGAGATCCCTTGGCTTAAGTTGACCAACGAAGGTACCTCCTGGGAACGCGAACTGCGCATGCTAAGGTGTTCATTCATGCTAGGGATGGCTAAGAATGTTAAGCAGTCATTCTGTGCCGCACACACATTTGATGACGTGGAGAACATGGGACAAGAAAACAAAAGGATAGCGATCGAACAAAAAATGACTACATACTGATGACTACACACCATGATGACCACATGCAAGTGCCTTGACACTTCGACGCGGACCAATCGAGCCCACCAAGGCGCTGGCGGCTCCCATTCGACCGCCCAGGGTGTCCACCCATTTGGCCAAGGATGGAGTGGCCGTGGCCACCACGTTCCTGCTTGTGTCACATGTGCCACTGAGAAAACGATTGATGGGATGGAGTTTGGGGTAGGTCTGGGGCTGGGGTGGGCTCTTTATTTACCAGGACACAGTGTGAAAACTATCAAAAACCAGGTGTTCGCACTGTAATATACGGTCATATATACACATACACATTATCACAAACCTTGGTTTTGCTTGGTAAGAAAACGTTATCGTTCCATGGTTGGGGGATGTTTGCGGTGCCCGTGGTCTGGGGTAGGTTCCTCGTAGGTTTCTCGTGGTCTGCCAGGTCCATGTTGCTCCTTTGGGGGAACTGATGCAGCTCAGGGCGCAAGCTTGAAGGGGGGGAGAGCATTGATGTGGAATCCTGTACAGGTTGAGTGGTCGCAATGCTGTACAGGTTGAGCGCGAAGACCCAGAGATTGAACGCATCAACCAACGTCCGAGAAGAGCAACAAGCATCCCACGCCTGCCCTGCTGGACTTGGTCAGGAGCCTCAAATACATCAACCCAACAAGTATTCATTTGCGCAACATCACCGGCTGGAGCAATAATTACATGTTTTTTTTTGCAATGACGTCATATTTAATTAACTCCCATCATCGAACAAACCAGTTGTCATCAGTTGACCCTTTCCCTACCCTTCAATAACCACCCCAGTAAATTTCAATGAAATGCATAGTCATCATTAGTCAACAGTCCATTTCAGAATGATCACCGACCACGCTTCCTCTTCAACCCATGTCCACCGTTTCAAACGACATGTGTTTTTCTGTTGAGACCGTCCTGTAGCCCGGCATCACGTTGGAAGGCACGAACATCCGCATCAACCGCTCCTAAAGCAAAAAAATGCAAAAAGATTTAAAGGGATTCCATCTGCGATCCAAGCGATCTATTTCTTCCCCTCATGAGAAGGCAGCTGAGGTTTGTCTGCTTGCGGAAGCATCCGAATTGCACAATTATTTGAGGTCCTTCATACATGTTATAGCTACCTTATGTTAAAAATATTCTGGATATACCTCACATGTTTGAGGTATGTGCACTGAAAGTTATTTGAGATCCACCACTACATCGTTTTTTGTAATTGTTCAATTTTCAAAAATTGTTTTGCCAATAATAATTCCAGAGGTGACCCACACCCTCAAATAATTAGAGCTAGGCGGTACCCATTTTGGTGCGGGTGTTTTTGTGGAACTCCGGAGCTATATGAAGATACTGCGACCCCGCGAGCCCCAGATTTGCTGGAACCCGGAGCCGCGGATGTCTCGTCTCAGAAACCACTGCCGAAATGGACCGTGCCCAGTGGATCTCGGCCACCGGGCACGGTTCCAGCAGCGATGGAAAATGAGCCAACGCCAAGCTCGGAGACCGGCACGAAACAGATTAATTGGCGCTGCCTTCAGCACGCGTCACATAAAAAGCCCCAGGAAAGTCGCAGCACAAGTGAAGAAACCTATGGCCTTGGCATGAGAATGATCCACTACAAAGTTCGAGACATCCACCCCCATACTACTCAGCACATCCATGGCTGCCAGAGATCGCAAGTTGCCACGGGCTTGACATGTTGGAGGGGTCAAAGATGGAGCTTGCGAGGTGATGGCCATGTTCATGAGCTGGGTCCTATTTGCACCACCCTCACCTTGGCCTACCTGGAAGCCACTCATGACCGCAGGGTCAATGCACAAGGAGATCCGGTTGTTGCCCATGGCACGAAGGAAAATGCTACGTCGTGCCTTCTGTGCGGGGTAATGAAGAAAATAGGCCAAGCACATCTCATCTTGAGTGAAGTCGCCGAAACTCGTAGGCGCCATCTGCTTGGAGGTATCATAGCTACAAGTTAAGGTCAGCTCATCTCCCCTTTTCAGCTTCTTGATGGACGAACCCTCCAGGGATTGATGATTGAAATCATAGACCTTTTCGCGACGCATTTCCCCCAAATATTTGCCATTGCGATTCACGTGGATGCTGAGCTTCTTGCCTACCAGGTGAGCATGATGCATCACTCCCAAGACGGTGATCTCCTAACAGAGTTGCCGAGTTGCCCCGGAGTGCTTTGGTAGATGATCATTGATTCGCATTTCAAATACGTACATTTATGTCTATGTATTTTCTCAGCATCCGTCATATAAGTCATACTAAAACAAAGTCTGGTGGTCTTGAGTCGAATCGAAACATCATGTTGTAGATTTCTCGCCAAAGGCGGCATGTCCAAACACATCCCGTGGTTCAATCTTTTGTGATTCAGCTCTTCCAACACCCAAAACCACCACCACTACGCTCAAAATATAAAAATCTCCTCGGCGGTCCACTGCTGTGTGCACTCGGCCGGTACCACCATGCTGGGGATCTCGTAGTTGGCATGACCCGGTGGCAAAGGGTCTCGCTGCATCGGGTTCACTCCGCCCATGAGACCGAAGCTCTCCGCATCGTAGGTGCGCAGGCTGGGCGCCAGGCTCACATGAACCCCGCTGCCGTCGCGCACACCTGGGACACAACAAGGCCGGTCGGCACATGTGTCAGCGGATGTCAGTGGAGTAGGAGGTGAACGAGGAAGACAGCTAGACATGAAGTATACTTGGACCTGTGAATTCCCGTTCACAAACACGTCTGGATTCGCATCTACGTAGAAAATCGTAGAAAAACATCGTGTGGTTCAGTGTTCGCAGTGTTGCCGCCTCGCCTGTCTGCATGCGCGGGTTGTAGTAGTGCACTTGCAGTGCATACCAGCGAGCTCCATCTCCAATGGGGATGCCGACGTCTGTGGGCAGCACTAAATCTTCACCCCCGACTGCCCAGGGCCATTTCGTGCTCTGACACCCCTGCACCATGCGCTCACAGTTGCTGATGACTTGCTGGTGGGTGAAATTGTTCTCCAGCGCAGCTTGCTCGGTGCACTCAAATAGAACCATGTGGTGCACAAACCTCACTTGCTCCAGATCGAAATGATAGCGAGAAGAGCGAGAGGGGAAGAATGGAGAAGAGGGGGAGTCTCACGTCACTTCTAACAAAAAAGCAAACCGATGCAAAAAACAGTCAGCCCCCATTATGTTGAATCTCCAGGGTGCAACATATTGACAACATTGGCAAAAAAGGTGCCGTACCCCACACCAAGTTCAGAAACTCTTTGGATGCTGAATCCAAGATGGGCGCAAAGCTCGCAGCATGATGTTTCTCCGAAGCAATGCGCATGTTGGGCAAGACTTGGTCCATATCAAAGATGCCGCAAATGTAGGGGTTCTTTGCATCACTCCCACCTTCTCCCAAGACTACGGGAACCTCCGGCATGGTAAGCAAGACTGCATCATAAGCACTCATGTCTGGTGGTGGCGCAGGTGGTCCGGCCACCAGATTCGTGTGGAACTGTCCGCGCGAGGTGTGGTAACCAAAGTCATGTGAGTCACCCAAGGCCCAATGCATGTACATCCCCACATCTTCCACGGCATACCGTTCGCCCGCTTGACAGGACTTTGTGGGTAAAAGGACGCCCCAGGAGGTATGTCCATCACTCTCGGATGCAAAGAAAAGCAAGACTTCCTCGCTTTCGCAGTGTGGTGCTCGGATCTGAGAAGAAAAATACATTCAGTCGCGGTTCTGTGGTTGTTTTCCTTTAGGATATCCGGATATCTGCAAAGATCAAACTTATGTTTGCACCATCATCGCCAAAGAAGTAAACCAACATCATCAATCCGTTCAATGTGTTTGAATGCGTTTGGGACCACCAATCAGGGGCTTTAGGTTTGTGGTCCCCAAACGCTCCGCCTAACAAAAAATATCCCAAAAACAGTTTGTGAGTGGAGCACATCGGAGGCTTCTTGAGTCGCTTGAAGTTGGGGTGTCACATAATCCGTGGAATAGCGCTCCTCTGCCACGAAGTCGCCATTGACCTGTGCCGAAGTCGAGAATTTCACATCTGAGGTCTGGGACGAGGTCGGTCTGGACGAAGTCGTTGAGTTTGGAGTTCAGTCAGGTAATGTCATCTACAGTTGTTTTTTTTGAGACATACATCTCTAGAACTCATTTCTAGAACTAATGTCTTTTTCCGTGATCGATGGATGACTGAGGATGACGGAACATGTTTCAACACGGGGACTATCCCCATCAGAGATCCCAGTGAGCGCTGGTCCATTCCAGCCTTGCGAACCACAATCTGCTGGGCACCCTTCATGCCGCCATTTCCTCAGACTGGGTGCCCTGCCAATCCCTTTTCACACCAAATTCCCTACTCTGAGCCTTTTCAGTGTAGTAGATGCATGCAACAAAATCCGGAAGGTGTTGTCTGATGTTTGTAACCCAAGTCTACAGGTGCCAAAGGGGGTTGTGCTATCTACCCTGAACTTGCTGCAAACTTCTTCTACAAACATCTGCGGCAGTTACACAGGTCCATGGAGCGCGTTTGTGAACTCCCTAAGTTTGAATGTTCCCACTTAAAAGAAACAACAAACGTCTACTGCACCAAAATCTAAGCCTAAGCTTCCACCGATGCCCAGAGCGCTCCATCCCCCTGTGAAATTCGCGGCGTGAAGACCCAGCTTCATGAAGTCTCCATCGGTACTGGGACCAAAGTACATCAGCAGCCCGTTACCCAGGTCCTTGCAGGAAATATGGAGGGGAACTCTGCCCAAGTTGGATGTATATAAGCATGTGGTTTAGCATTATGATTATAGTTACAAAGATTATCATGGTCCATGATGATTTTGTGGGGAGGGGGTCAGCTCTTTTGGACATGGCTTGAACATGCATCTTTCTCGAGATTCTTTCTGAGCCTGGCAGAACGGCCAATTCTCAGCAGCAAACAGTCCGTCACCATAGCATGCCGCCTCTCCACCAAAGCTAAGTGCAGCGAGTAGCAAGTGCAACATAAACATGGCTCGCGGGGACTTCGTCACACCAGCAAGACACGAAAATTGCAGGGTTGGCTGTGGCTTCTTGTGCCCAAGGCTCAGAACAAAGCGTTAAACTGCAGGACTCAAGAGTGTGCATTCACTCAGTGCAAAAAGGTCGCTCATAGAAGCTTTGTAAGTAAGTCCAAGGAAGAACCACACAAAAAGGAGTGTAACAAAAATCAACACACACAAACGCATGGTTCTTCGTTTGTTTGATCGCCTATGGGTCATGATTTAGATGGCAACAATGTCCCTTCCAGGCGCTTTTTCAGTCGCTTTCTCTGTCGCCTGTTTGGCAAACCCGGTATGATCGTAACCAAACCTCACAGCCTCACAGACATAATGGATGTTTGCAGCAGGTCCAGGACACCATGTCTCACTTGGATCCCCAAGCGCTTGTTTCGTGTGGGTGGTTTGGGGGTATGCAAATCACTTCTCTTGGCCGCGGCGGGGAGCTTTCCCAAAGCCAAAGCCGGCTTTGATCAAGACTGGAAGGTAGATACTCTGCCGAGCATCGACTGTGAGGAGAATATGATATGTGCTTCAAACGCATCAAAAACAAGTGGTTTTCATTTCAAAGCTATCGATTGTTTGAGCCTCTTGCAGGCTAAGAATGGCTAAGTCGCCAAACATGGAAGGCCCACCCGCACCGACAGTCCTAAATAGATAAATTACTGAAATCGACACCAGCCAATACACTCAGTTCCACACCCAAGAATAAGATCCTTCTCGTCTCCAGTCATCCCTAAACACACTCCAGTCATGAGGTTTCATGACCCGCAGCCACTGGAAACCGCTCGTTCCAGTCATGCAAGCACGAGTCTTCTTGAAAGGCGAACTGATTGCTGGCGTTCCTGGGATTCGCCGAGGATCGGTGGGTGAAACATGGCGAGGGCGTGATGATCGTGGCGACGTATGAACGAACAAAACCAATGTAGGACGGGGAAGTGCCGTAGATCTTGTCGATGGTTTTTGGGTGGAGAACTTGTCTCCTAGTAGCATCGAAAAAAGTGGATAGGATATTGCCGATGGTTTCCTAGGTGGAGCAGGACTTCTTCTTTCTCAAACAGGAAATACTACTACGTTTGGGGAAGCGATTGAATCGGGGTGCCACAATACTACTCATTTATCCACTGGGTGGTCCAAACGTCACCCGTGCACTCCCATCACCGTGGTCGCGCACTCCCACGGCCCCTCCAACCCGCGAGAGGACCGAAACAATGGAACATGTTACCCAAAACGACGCCAACTGTGGTTAGCAGATAGACTGGTTTGCTGGATTTTTTGAAACACTTTGCTTGTAATGGACGGTTATGATCATTCCAAATAACTGCAAAACAGGTATGGAGCCAACCTGTGCATGCAACCACGTAGTGTAGTGCCTTCTTCTTGTGTCTCCAGCCCCCTTTGGCCCATCCTCATAGGCACTAAGTACTTGGGAGTGATCCTCCATTTGATCTCATCAAGTCAGTCTGTCTGGTTCTCCAAGCATCTCAGCCAATGATGGCCTGAATACCAGCCCTGAGCGAGCAAGCGGAACAAAACCATCACCGAAGGCCCAACACATCTACAGGCTTGCCAAATTTCAGACTGCCGCGATGGAACCTGGTGTGAGTCATGCAAGATCGTTTGCGAACCTAGTTTAGACATCATACATTTACAGGTTCATCTTCATGGACAAGTGACATCATTAGATACCCCCTCCACTTGTCTTCCGTGCGAACAAACAGAAAGGCCTGCGATGTACTGGCCGCCAAAGCGGTACAGCTTCGGGTGCACCTCAAAGCGGAAGACGGAGCTGGGTCCCAGGAGACGCCCATGCGCCGTCTCACCATGCGAAACCTCCAGAAGAGTCTGGTGAGAAATCTCTTGCAAGTCTTCCTGAGTACTGAAAGGAATACGGGCTTTCTTCAACCTTGGAACATGGAGACTCTCAAAATCTGGTGCTTTGATTTCAGTCACATCCCATCTTCCAAAGAGCCGATTGTCTTTTGACCATTGAGGTTCTCTCGACCAAAGCCGTTAGTCGAAGTGATGCCGAAATCAAGGCCCTACTGGCTGAGGCGCCTACGGATTCTATGCTTGACGACCAAAACACGTCCACTTGGGAAGTAGCCCAAACACATCATGAATAAACGTGTATCATTGGAGTAATTATACAGTATAGATGTATCATGTATCATACACGGGTTGTGTGGGTATGATGAACATCAACTCTCTTTGGCTGGTTAATGGGTATTGTCGGTCTTGTCGTATCCGCCAGAAAGTACCGTGCTTTTCCTTGCCGATTCCCCATCTCGAAACTTTCAATCCCTGCCTTTAGCCTTGGTTGGCCTAGAGAGCAATTGAAGTCCAGGGGATTAACATCGAAAGAACAATCCTCACCAAAGCAACTAAGCAACAGCAACAGTGTTCGTATAAGGAAATAAAAGCACCAATCCAATGCAAATGGACAACTCGTACACTGTTGTTCACTTCCTTGCTTGTTGGATCAATAGACAACATATGATAACATCCTCCCAAGGAGCAAGGAATCCCAGGCGCTGGTTCCTTGAGTCCCAGGTAGAAGTTGTAGTACGTGACAGTGGCCTCTTTCGGCACCGCCTCGGTGAAACGCATTTCTTCGCCCGTTTCGGACAGGCCTCGGTCCATTGTTTCGAGTCAAAGAAAATGGCCTCTCAATCGATGCCTTTTGTCCAGATCATGGAACCTAAAGGTCCAAACCCCTGCTCTGCAGGGTCAAACCCCTTGGTCTATAGTCCATCATGAATGGGATTCTTGGATATTCTCGAGGTACCCAGCAAGTCCCAGCTGGATGAATCGCAGAATACTACGAAGGTCTGCACTCGATGGAGCCCCATCCAGATCTGAATTCAGTGAAAAACTCTAGATATGACCTCTTGGTCTCACTAAGCCTCTTCAACCTCCATGTTGCTAGCTTGCTGTTATCAAGGCCGGTGTGTCCCGAAATACGTAGTTCGACATCATGATCCTCAGGAAGCGTTAGCCTTGTATTCCCAGAAAAATATGGGTGGCAGAAACATCGGATAATTAATCTTGGAATGGTGATGAAGCTGCCTCTTCTCGGTCAAACAAATCATTTTTCAATGGCCAAAGTTCTGCTCCAATGCGGAAGACTGAGACACATCAGAAAGTAAAATTCTGTGTGTTGATTTGCGTAACATCTCTCTCAGCAACCCTTGCTCCACACCTGGGAAAAGGTGTCAATGTCAATGAGACTCACCCACCACAGCAAGGACAAACTCGTGCTCAGTGGGACTAATTTCTTCAAGTTGTAGTTGCCTTGTCAGAAATGCTCACAGTCATGAGGCTGCGGTAGGGCTCGCACATGAGTTTGAGGCAAGAAAACAAAACGCCGTCTGCACCAAGTCCGGGATCCAGCACTTTGTGCGATGGCTGCTGATGAGCAGCCATTGCACAAAGTGCAAGCAAAGCGACTTGCAAGGGGCCACAAATAACACTCCTTCAACACTCTCAATCAAAGTCTTGAAGACCTTGCCAGCCGCGACGACGGCGGAGACGGCCAAGTATTTTTCAGAACCACCCACCTGTGCAAGCTGCTCTTCTTGATATCGGGTGAGCCTAGTAGAGCTCATCAGCATGTATTTATAAACTCTTACAAACTCCACTTGTTCAACTTGAAGTTGCCAATAGGTGGGCACCGTAGCGTCCTTATCCGTCTCATCCGAAGGCAGCTGACTTGAGACTTCGAAATCGCACAGCACATCGCTGCACCTTTCGAAATCGCTGCAACTGGCAAACGTTCGAAGCCCCGTCTCAGCTTCTCGTCAAGACCATAGAGTAGACCACCCATTTCTCCGATTTCTCCGATTTCTCAGCCCAGCTTCGAAGGATTCAACTTGATCTTCAGGGACAGCAAGATGCTCGTTTCAAACGGATGCAATGGTGAAGGAGCGAGATGATGAGTCATCTACTTGCTCTTGCACAGTCCATTTGAAACGATCATCTTGCTGATCAAGCTCTCTCTTGCTCTTGATCACTCCTCTAATCCACTTGTCCTTGCCCGCATTCCAAGCCACAACCTTCTCTCCAGAGGCAACAAAAAAATGTAGGAATTCCGTCACATCCATCTAGTGTACTCAAGCGTCGCAACCTCCGCTTTCTGGAATCTTCCAAGGGCCCTGATTGAGGAGATCAAAACCCACAAACGTTTTTTCAGAGTTCTTCAAACCATCCACGGTCACTTTGCCCATCCCTCTCATACCTGGGTAATAGACCACTATGGGTGATTGTCCTACATCCACTCCTTTTTTCCATAATTTTGTGCCAAACCTTAGCTGCGATTCAATTCCCCTAACGTGTGATTGAAACTTCCACAAAAGGAAGGCAAAGTGCAAAAAAAATACACATCGAACTCTTTTGGCATCAGCACTCGCCTTGCGGTATTCCTCTGGTTTGGCAGCCTTCCAGACCAGGATGGCATTCATGGCATGGCGTTCTCTGTGCCTTTGCCATACGTTCCTGCCCGACTTGGTAGAGGTATCCAGCCTCAGAATTCATTAGTTAACCATTACTTTTTCCACACCGCATGTTACCATCGAAACTGTTTACAAATGACAAACCAGTCAGCGTCGGCCAAATTTACGTGGCAACAAAAACAACAAAAACACAGTTACTTTCCTTCGATTGATCACCACCATAGAATGCCAAAATATTTGCCGGATAGAATGCCGTGATAGCAATGATTTTTGTATCTATATATATGCAAGGCAAACACTGTTCAGTCATGTTGAAACAATATAGAGCTGTCGGTTCATTCGTGCTTGCCCCAAGGAGCATTGACCGATTGGATCAATGCCTGCACTCTACACGCATCCCCGACACCTCATCAGCTACATGGCACATATTCTGGCATTCTATGCTAACATTCAAATGTTCTGGCATTGGGATATTTTCTGGCACTCTTTTGACATAAATTCCGACATCCTTCACAAAATATCTGGCATACTTGCACCTTTCTGGCATTCCTTCCGTCTCGTTCAGGTCCCACTGCGATCCGCTCGCGGCGGAGGTCCGGTGCACAGCTCAAACCGAACAATCCTCATCTGGCAGGTGGGGAACAAAGCAAGTAGACTTAACGGCCGCCTTCGTGCGGATCACAACAAGCCTTGCCTGTGAGCTAATTATAAGCCCTGCGATCGACCCGGCTTCTTTTGGATGATCAATCTGCTAAGCCGCTACCCGAGCTGAGCCAATTACGCAATCCTTCAGCTGAGCTTGATCCCAGCAGTGACCACTGGCCCACCAGCACCACTGGTCCATCCGCCCCGTCATGGCAGGTGGCGCCAATATGGCTAGGGGCCGTGAGGTGTCAGGAACTCTCCCTCAAGGTTGTCAAGGATTGCATCAGGAAACACACAAATACATTTTTTACTGTTTATCCTCCGGCCACAGTCAGTCCTATGCGTGATGAGTGATGACTTTAATTGGCACACTTCATCGGCTCCAGGACAGATTCAGCTTAAACAATCGGGAGCTGCACTTATGTTCAGCTGTGTGGTTTTCACGGACTATCACAACAAGCCAAGCTGCTCGACAAACAAGTGACAAGCTAAAGCCGCTTTACAGGATACTAAGACTTGAGCACCGAAACAAAATAATGAATCATGAAGGGAAGCTGCAAGTTCCATGATCCAATGCAAGTTCATCAGCTCACCCATTTGCAATCATTCTTCTTGAATCCATACAAGCGAGCTGGCACGAACCCCCAGCCTTCCCCAAACAATGAAGGAACCACATAATTACTTTCCAAACTCATGGGTGCAAAGATGCCAAAGACCTGCTAGGCCCAAGATCCTAGCTTCTGAAGCCTTTCGCAACCACTCGTCGCTCCCTTCCAACCATCCAAGCAACCGCAGTGGACTGGAAGCGGACACACCGAAACCTGCCCTCCTGAGAGCGGGCCAAGCTGTTAAACCATGATGTGCGGGCAGCTCGGCATGGGTTGATAGACCCTGTAGGGTCCGTGGACATGGATGTTTCGATTCGAAGTTTCGATGTGTTTCGTGGTTGTTCCCATAGACTGTCTGTTCATCCAGGGCATGCATCTTCCGACTCTCGTGCAGGATGGACACTCTCCGACTCTCTCCCAATACCCGTAGGCAACATTAGGCAACAATATCAACCTCAATTCACTCATCCCCACGGCCGAGCTCGAAGCAATCCAACAAAGCAAGCAGGACCTACCAAGGAGTCAAAAGGACTTCAAACAAAAAAAACGAAACAGAACCAAAAAGGCACAAAAAGCTTCTCCACACCATCTCACACCTTGGATCAAAATGCATCAAAAAGCTTCTGAGGCATCAAAGGTCTGGGAGGCTGTGAGCGGGGTGTCGAAGTGATCCTCGCTGCCATCCCTGGCGAGGCGCCAGTCGCGGCAACGGTGCCAGGTGCCAGGCGCGCGCTTCCGGGGCATGCGTGCACCAGTTGTTCGGAGTCGAAGCACAAGTTGGATGAGAATGCGTTTTTGCTTTTGGTGGGTGATCAGGGACTATTGAAATACTGGACCATGCATGTCCTAGAAGAAAATGACAGAAATCAACAATAAATGGACTTAGCAAAAAAAGAATCACCTTCAGCAAACCCGACTCTGCTCTTTCAACGGATATGATGCTTAGACTCCGCATGGTTTTGGGATGCTTCGGGCACATCCGTCTCATGGCGGGCAGTGTTGGGTGCCAGTTTATATAGTGTTCCGAACAAGTAACTTTAAATGGATTTGATGTACACATTAACTCATGTTCCATTGCAATGGAAAAATACTGTTTGGTGTCGTGACAAAGCTGTGACCACCAAAGACCAAAGGTATACTTACAAATTACAATTTATAAAGTGTACAGAAACGTTTATATCATACAGGTTGAGCCATTTCTGGGTGTGGGATCCATCTTCTGTCCAGTGAACCCACCTTTGGCCTATCTGCGACACGCTTCCATTCTACTCCAGGCAACGGCAAGTCATCAGTCCCAAGACCCGGAAATCATCAGGATTGTGCTAGCAGTAAGGCGGCCAGGAGCCCCTACTAGCATCCTTGCTACTCGTAGCGATGCCCTTTGCTCCTAGTAGCGTCCCTGTTCCTAGTAGTAAGGCCAGCAGCTAGTAGTAGCGTCCTAATTGTGCATTCATTCTCGGAGTGAAAAGGAGATGGCCAGCCAGAACCTATTGAGCATCTGCCTTCATAGCGCACCCGGGAAAGGGGCAATGAATCGATAACGGAACGTCGCAAACAGCTAAGTTTTGTTGCTCTGTTTACCAAAGAACAAACAAAAAGGCTCGATCTTTGGGATCGAATTCTACGATAGCTGTCGTATAATTCTGTTTGCTGATCCCCTTCGAAATTCCATTCCTAAGCCCAGCTTGGGTCAAACGAACCTGTTCTTAACCATGTCACCACGTCAATCTAACTTGTGCCTGAAGAAGGCTGATCCCCGTAAATCACTGGGCGATCACCGCTTTGGGGCGACCCACCTACGGTACACGGCACCGTTCAAGCCAAGACTCTTGGAGAACCAACCAGTTTGACATGCCACCGCCACAGATCCCAGCATGGAGTAATTCCTCGCTTCGCGACGCCGGACCGAGTCGGAAGACACCCACCCGTTCCGCTCGTTTCCCGCTGGGGCACGTCGTAGCACTGAAAAGCTGGTTTGGATACAAAGTGGTGAGTCTCACAAAACACAATTACATCAACTTACCCGCCAGGAGCATGCAGGTCGATTTTTGGGTATTTGTTGCCCATAGTAGAGTTAAATGCAAACTATATGAAGATATATGAAGTTCGTTTGCATCACCCCTGCTGGTGAGAATTGGTGCCATCCAAGACAATGCTCGATGAACCTCCCCACTCTTCTGCTTTTCCAGAGAAGGATTCAACATGACAAAGAAGTCAAATAGTTTTCTCAACAACATATAATATAATATATAACAACATATGTTGAGAATCAAAGGGGTAGGGGTGGGTAGGGACCCTTTAAGGCCTATTAAGGCCTATAGAGTCCGTTCCCTGACCCAAGGCCCATCCAAGTTTCAAGCTGGCACTGATCCGAACCAACTCCTCGCTTCGACCGATCCCGCCGCTTCCGGTGACCGCGGTCCGAGCGAGACGTCTTCGGCACCGTGACCGAGACGCACCTCTCTCTCTTCGGGGGACATGTGACGGCAAAGAGGCACATGTGAGGCACCAGAACATGTCCCCGGTCACCGTAAATGCCCCAACTCACTAGGGACCTGCACACATCGAACATGCCGACGGAACGTGGGACCTGCACATCCGTCGTGGGAGGGCCACTGCCATTTCCGGGTTCCACATCCGTGAGTCCGCACGCTTTCGGGGTGAGAAACACAAACAGGAGAGATTTGGAGAGTTCCATTTTGCTGGCTTTGTTTTGCAGGTGTGTGCATCGGTGCTGCAGGAGTTGGTCCATCGAAAGGACCTGGTTAATCCAAGTTTAACAATGTGTTTTTTCACAAAAACGTCTGAAAACCCACGTGGGTTGACGTAGAGGGTCATGGATCCTGCAAATATAGGACAAAGCGCCTTCCAAGAAACTCAACCGCTCTAAATGTTATTGGGTCTTCACTTACTGGTGTGCACGCTATCCAGTAGATGGGTGCTAATAAATGTTAGGACTTGAACTCAGCTAGCACCATCCAAGACGCCAAACAACCAGCCAGCGCCACAAAGGCAGCCCGGTGCGGTTGGTGAAACGGTTCGGTCCAAGGCGCGCACACGTCCAAGGATGGGGGCGGCTTCGCCATCCGTTCCTCCGAGGTCTCCACATAGTCGGGCTCCTCCAAGGCCTGTGCGTTGACCCAGGAGTGGACCGACGAGAATCGGCGGGGATTTCTTTCGGCGGAAAGGAGTTGGAATTGATGGAAGGGAATTCTGGGAGTCCGAAATCCATGTTCAAGTCCACCCTTGGTGATTGATGCTGCTCTCTCTCTCTCTCTCTCTCTTGGTGATTTCGCCATTCATAGCTGGCCGCCTATATAAGATAAGTATATATATAAATATATAATATATATATATATACACCTGATTGATGCCGATGGACTGAAAGGCTGAAGCATGCTATAGGTCTCGTGGGATCACCTGAAAGCTGGAAAATGGTTTGTGATGGTTTAAACATGTTTAAAATGGGGCACTGGCTACAAAAAAACATGATCCTTGAGACATGTTTCTTCTGAACATGTTCAATCTAAAGAAACGGCCTTCTGTTTAGTTTGTGAGCTTGAGGGACTCCCCCTCAGCTGCATTTCACATGAGAGCCATCAAAACCAGTCAACTGTTGCTCAGTGGCGTATCCGTATCCCTGACTTGGACCGGTGACTTGACGATTCTTCCACAAGCATCCTCAAGTAAACAAAGCTGGAGCAGCAGCATGTTGAATTGAAGAAATCCTTAAGTGTTGATAGAATCTGGAGTGCTTGTTTTCAACTCAGCCACATCCGATCTACTCGAGGGCAGTTGCCAAGTATGATCATTTTGGAGTCTCGAGTCGCGGAGCAAAGGGCCGTAGGGTTCCACGACTCCAAAGCAACTCGGCTGCGGTTTCCACATGTCCCTTGCCGCGCATGACAGTGGCTACAAAGAAAATGAATCACATGGGCATGGAAATGCATGGAAGCTTGGATATTGATGGCTTTTGTATCCGTGGTGATGAACAGTCCCTCGCATGAGAAAACAAGGTGGGTATGAACCGGCGATCTAACCAGTAGCACAAAGTTGGAGGAATTGAAGATTAAATAAAAAGGGACGGCCTGGACAGCAAAAAACAATAGGTCCAAAGAACCTAATAACCACATCAAAACAGCCAAAGAATCTTGGCTCAACACGACGGTGCTTAGACATAGGGTGAACCATCGGCTCCAAACGTCCCGGTGTCGGACGCGGTGTGCCGGTCCCGTCGTGGGTATAGAATGGGCCGGTGGCCCGTCGCATCCGCTGCACGGCGACAGGTGGAGACGTGAACTCGTCTGAATGTGAGATCGGTAATTATAAGGAGGACGCTAAACGGCTAAACCTCTCCATGTTTTTGTTGGAAAGTTTTTTGGGTAGCCGCCACTATAGCCTCCTCTGGAGTTCATTTCATGTGCTTTCATTTTGCTTTCAGTCAGTATTGTTGTCTTGAGCTTTCTGGGTGGAATCTGGGGCCTGGACTTTATAATTATGGCTCCTGCATCTGTCACAAGGTACTGAAGTAGGTATACGTTGAGTATGTATCCAAAGAAGGAGAGGACCAGCATGGCCCAGCCACTCCCAGACTCCCAGCCTTCCAAAGATTCATGGTGGCTAAGGAGCCATAAATGAGGTACAACGCAAGCCTTGTGCGGTGCTGGCAACAGGCACCCACGTGGCTTAAGAACCCAGTCTGTTGTGCACAAACAACTTGGTCATTGGATGAGTCGGATGAGTTCATCGACGTTGTTCGACTGTGCGCGGCTCGACTGTTCCATGTTTGGGGAATTGCGAAAAGCGACTGACTTAATGAAAAAAAGTGCCAACTGACCCAAGGCTTCGTTCAGTCAGGTTCTCTAGACTATGTAGCAGCTAGCGATCGTTCTATCTTTCTTATGTTCACTCACCATAAAAGCATTGTCCCAGCCTGGGAGCGATGAACAAAAAAGCACGATTTAAGACGCTAAATCGTTGGTCTACATCTGTCATCCACACCTCTGCACCACTCGTTCAGCTCAGCCACAGGAAAGACCAAAGTGTCCATGCGCAGCAGGCATCCTGAGGCCGGTTTAGCAAGAAATGCACATTTGCGTCCCCTCCTTGCGCTTAGGACACCATCACCACCACGAACAACAGCAGCAGCAGCAACAACATGATGATCAAGGCCCCAAGAATTGACCCTGCGAGATGATCAGTGTTCCTTTACAAAAGAAGTGGTTTTAGGAGGGAAACAAGATCGAAAGAATCACACCTAGGAGCGAAGAAAAACCCTTTGGATCTCTTGACAAACCACAAACGACAATGGGCTTCTCCCAAGATCTCTGAAAAGAAAGAGATCCCGAATCGACGGCGACAGAGGGGGAATCTTCGACCGATGACCGCATTGCATTGCATTTGGAGACCGGCCTTCTCGTTGGGGAACTGCGTCCAGCGCGGAGGAAGCATCTGTCGTGCTGTGCCCTGCAGCAGAGGGGCATGAGTGCACTGGCAAACTTGTGGAAATGCAGGAGTTGATGCACATGTGTGTCTCCGCAGCTGGAAACAACAGCTGGACCCCAAGACAGGTTGATTTGAAAGCTACGGATCATGCTCACCAACTGGAGTCGCAAAAACAAGTTTCCTAGTTGATGCAGGTCCAAACAATTGTAAGGCCTGTGAAGAGACTGCACTGCCGACTGCTTGGAGCTTCAAAGGGTATAAGTAATGAACTTCAATCTAAACTTCTAAACAGATTGGAAGCAACAAACTGATTCCGGATGGTGGGACTTGGGGAACCAAAAGGGGAACCCAAAATGGCATTGAGATCCTGATACAGTTCTGATAATAGAAGAGACCTGCCAACAAAAATAAACAAACCTGGCTGCGAGCCAGTTCACCCAGTTGCCAGATGAGCTGCCGGTGGAGGCGATTCACTTGGAAAGACTGGAACTCTTCCCATCCTTCCCTGTTTTTTTTGTTGCCTGCATGAACACAGGCACACAGGTGGTCCAAATACAATGAACTACATATATATATATACATACAGTTATATACATACATGTGCGGTTCACTGTCCTAGCAGCTAGCTTCTTCTCTCTTGAAAGGGGTATGGACAACCACACAACTTTGCACAAGAAGAGGGTCAGTCTTTACCTGCACTGGACTTTGTCCCAGGTCTCATGCCAACCCTGTAAGCTGTCCCTCGTTCGGCAAACAAAAAGGTCACTGGAAAGGCCACATGCGCACTGTTCGGCAGCCTTGACACGGTTCAGGAGCTGCTAGGACCTGCTCCATGAACTCACATATCTTTGCTTCCCCAGAACTGCCACCAGCTCCTTTCATCCTTCCCGAACCACCAGGAGCCTTGTGCAGCCAGGGAGATCGCAGGTGTGCTTGCTCGTGGCAGATGGTCAGCGTGCAGCAGCCATCAAAAAGCCATCAAAAAGAAACTTGTTTGCTGCGCAAAAAGCCAAGTACTGAATTTCACCCCGAGCATACACATGTTCAGAAAGGTGCGCGATGCACAGAAACCCATCTGGTTCCCCAATTACATCCAATTACCATGTCAGAAGCACCATGTTGGAGGATTCACTTCTATGCTCAACCCATGCCACTCACATCATGCATAATCCATGCCAATCACATCATGCACGTGTCAGAGCTGTCCCGACCTAAAGGGGTTGTGACCGGAATAGAATATGTATCCAAACAGGTTTACTTGAGACAATGCCTCATGTCATTTTATACCTCCAAAATCACATTCTGGGATCTCACAAGGTGGCTTTGAAGAAGACGGGTCACAAACAGACTTCCGCTTTTCTCTGCGGATATGAAGGGCCTGAAGTAGAACTGGTGCGCGCGAGGACGGTGTGGCATTGCTGGATGAGGCTGTGCAACCGCTAGTGGCTTTTCCGAAGGATTTCCAGCCAAAGCTAGATGGTAGAGATTTCAACTTTCAACTAAAGGCTTTATACATCATATAACTGTTGTATATGTCCAAGTGGAAATTGCATGAAATTACTATGCGGCAATGCCATTGCGATTGTAGTTTGAAGGCTTTACTTTGGGGTGTAGTGAACCAAACTCAACTTCTCTTGTCAACTGGTGATCCATAAAGAATCCTTTGGAAACATTCCACGGAAAGAACTTAGCACCAGCCATTTGGGAAGGAACCTCTACTAGTGATACCAAATGGCTCTGCTTGTTGCCTGCACTGGAGTCGATCGAAAGTACCATCCAATGGTGTCAAACCTTTGACCTTTCAATCGCCCATGTTTCATCCTTTGACCTCAACTAGAGGACGTGTAGAGTCACAGTGGATGGATTCAACACTTTTCTGTGATGACCTCCCAACCGCTGTTTCATGGCCTGTGGAAGGCCTAGGCTGTAAGCTCCACACATGAAAAAACTCTTGAAGCAAACGTTTGCGCAAACATGTGCGATTCCCCAAACATGTCCTGACCCCTTCATGCTATTTGTCCTATTAGCTAATCTATGCTATATGGATACATTTGGATCCTGCATTCTGGCTCCTGAACGGTGAGTTGTTCGGAGTTGGAGCGCGGCTCGTCCACGCACGGCGCCAATAAGGGGCGAGGTGTTCGGCCGCCACTTTTTCAAAGCGCTATGGGTTGGAAGTTGTTCGGCGCCTCTGGACAAGTGCTCCTTCCCTATCCCCCAAAGGAAAGACTCCACAACAGTTCCATCGTTGAGCATTTTCAGTTCGACGATGCGAGACGTAGAAGAACCTGGTGTTTCCGTGCGAGACGATGGCGAGGAAAAGAAGTACAGAAGAATCACAGCAGTTCCTAGTAGCTTCTTGTTCCTAGTAGTAAGGCCAGGAGCGACTTGTACACCGATCTCATCCCTCTTGGCCCTTTAAGATGCCATAGCCCTTAAACACTGCGGTGGTGGATGGTGCGGCAAAAATATATCCTATCTGGTCGAGAGAGAGAGAGAGAAGGAGAGTCCATAGTGGGCCCCTTTTTCTGAGGGTTCTTTAATTTACGTAGGTCAATTATCCACCAGATCAAGAACAGCCAACAGAACACGACGCCTCTTGACTTGAGTCTCTTGACAGCTATCACCCATGCCTTGATGGCCATGTTCTCCATGCTTCGTGACAAGCTAACTGGTTCTAGCTCTACCAGTCTGGGAGGAATACTTGCTCCCTGGAAATTGAACAAACAACCAGACTGCCTGGACTCACCAAGCACTGAGGGATTGCTCAAATCAACTCAGATCTTGAAGATCCGACCTTGAAAGTGACCTTGCGCTGGATTCTCTAAGTGACCCGTTCTCTTATTAAGTGGCACCTTGGCTTTTTGCCCGTTTGTCAAACCACGTCCCAAGAGTTCGGGAAGGAGCCCCTCGACGACTACCGAGAGTTGCCGTTGACGGGGGCATCTCCTCCAAAGGCGGAAGTCACGATGCGATGAGATGATTATGCCTGACTGGCAGTCCGACTTGCTTGGTCTTGGACGTGGAATAAGATCCGCCTATCTCCAATGATGTTTCTTAATAAAGATAAACATCCTTGATAAGCATCAACAAGAATTCATGGGAAAGGAGGAATCCACACCAGTTGGACGTTCATTCACCAGAAGTACTTCAATACTGGTCCCTCACGAGGAACGAATGCCTGAATTTCAGAAAAGTTGGATCCCTTGTTGGACAACGTTTTCTGCCAACTTCAACAGTCTACGACGAAGGAGAGGATATATAACTATATATATCATAATAGTAATGTGTATATATATATATGAGAGAGAGAGAGGGGGAGAGAGAATTCCAGGTGTGTTGAAGATCTTTGAACATTATCCTGCTCAAAATTATTCACGACTGGATGTGGACTTGCTAAGAGCAGTGGTTTATTGGTTGCAACAAGTATAGCCAGCATGATTAGCAGCTATCCCGGATCGTCGTTCATCAGTAGGGATCTTGGGTAGGACGGCATAACTGCCCTTTTGCCTCGACTAAAGCGTACCAAAACAAGTTGGTTCAGCCCCAATTCTGGCAGTTCAAACAAGAACATCGATCCTGCATTTGTTTGATTCATTTGATGCATCTAATCACCTGCCTTCGCCAGGCACGATCGAACCCGCCTTCCCAAGGGCTGCAGATTGATCCAAAGATTAGAGTGCAACTTGGCCACTCTCAATCCGATCTGCAGAGTCAACTGCAAATTCATCGCGTCGTCCAAATGCCGTCGTGAGTCGTTACACTCAACTGGTATCTCTTGGTGACATCTCTCGTCTGGCGGCAATCAGCCCTGAGTGTCCTTGACATTATATGTCCCGAATGCTATATGGGATGCCAATGTTGTGAGTCACAGCGTGGCGGGCACATTCCTCCAAATTCATATCTGAGTCATCGGAGTGATTGCTATCTCTGCACCTTAGACCAAACCAGATTTGACAGTGATCGCCCCTGCTGGAGCGTGTTTTTGGAAGAGAGGCGCGGCGATGATTCTCTTTGGAGGACATGAAACCTTTTGGACATCAGAACAACACTAGTCACTAGACATCTTGAAGCTTTAAAACTCAAAACTCTATCTTTGGCAATGCCGCTATATCTTATATGTTATATCTTTCAATATCTATCTTCACTCTCGTTCTCGACCGGATTGGCTGCAAAAGTTGCTTCTTCTATCTTCACGAAGGGCGAAGAGATTCCTCTGCCGTTCCGTCGGTGCCAGAGGGACAGCGGATCATGAAGATGTGAAAAAAACAAGAAAATGGCGCTACGCACAAAAGAAAAGGGGGGATTCGGACACCAAACACATGCACACGCCAACAGTGTCCCAAAGATACGTAGACACAAATTGCAAAAAGGGATCCCACATGTTGTTCCTCTGTTTGATGTATTCTTGAATTCTTGAGGTAAAGCATGGTAAAGCTCTTGTCGCTACCTGGTCCTTGATCGTCTTTCTGCCATTTGCTCGGATAAGAGGATTCTTCCTTCGGAGTTTCTTCAAAACAAACAAAGCGAACAAAACAGAGTTATCGTTTGCGTCCACACCTCGTCATCCGGCGAGTCTCTGTAAAGCCATGTACCCACCTTTTTTTCCAAGGCCAAACCATCCCACCAAGGCCAACAACCTCCTGGTCCTTTGCGTCCTTCGTCCTGCATTCCTCGTCAAACCTCAAGATCCGCAGTGTCCCCCCAGAGCCGTCTCCCCAATTTTGAGGCCTCAAGCCCTGCCCCAGTGCGAGCAGTGAACCACGCGCAGTGAAAATGCCTTCTTTTCGGTACGGCTAGACCCACTAGATTTCAGAGACGCATCTCATTCGATGCTCATACTCATACCCACACAAGAATGGAACTTCACAAGCAGTTGGACCCTGTGAAAGCAAGGCCAACCAATCGGAACCTCATAAACGTTCAATTCAGCATTGCAGACTTCGTTCTCTTCATGTCGAATCAGAGTGATGTCTTCATGGGTCTTTTTTGTTTTTTTCTCATTGATCCTCCATGAATCTGGCGCCCAGTCCCGCAGTGCCATCGCGAAGTCTGACCGAAGGGTGACCGAGCCTAAGTCGCTGACCGAAACATCCGAAAACCGCTGCCAGTCATCCGTTACTTCGCCACACAGGCGCCGATGGATTTGGGTTTGCACTGAGGTTCTCAGGCTTTGCCAACTCTGCCCGGTGAGTGAATTCGCTGCGATCCAGCAGATGCTTGGTCACCTACCGCTCACATGTCGGGATCCAAGTTGGGACCGTTTGGAGGGTCCTTTTTCGGATGATGTTGAGCACGTTAAACCATCAGGAAACCAGACCTGATAAAGGAGCGTCTTCGCGTATGCATTCAATTGGTCAAAATGGTCCCCACGTTGGTCGATGCAGAAGCCACACTCGACTCTCGTTGGTCAACGGTTGTTCTCAACAAAACGATGTGCCTGCCATGTACACCCCAGCCGTTTTTGTGTCCTGCAAGGGCTGAGTTCGTCTAGTCAAAAAACCTGTACAATTTCCACAATCTACGACAACCGCGAAAGAACTTGAAATACTGTAACTCAAGGAGGGAATCAGAATGAATCAAACAATGGCCGTGGGGCTGGATTTGTTCATGTCCTAAAAATTTGAGGAAAAGGTGTCCCGACCCATTATTTATAATGCATCATTTAATAGGAACCTGTCCATCAGCAGTAATTAGAAAAGCTGGACAAGAAATTCCCCAGAAAATGTGCTGAGCAATCAATTGACTGCAACGCGTGCGAAGAAAACCGCTGCTTGCGACGTTTTCCTTCGCTGCTCGGGACAAAATACACAACAAAAACATCCCAGTGCACGAAGAATTGACATCGGTTTGCGAAACGTTGGAACAAATCCATTGGCAAAATGCCTTGATGCTGTGAAACCAAGAATCTTTGACTGGACCACCTCACGGTGAGCCGTTGTTCGCCGGTCTTTCGCTCTTCGATCGCCGCTCGTTTCACGGAGTCGCCGCAGGAAGCTGAGGGCCACCGGTAGCAAAATTCCAAATTGAT